CTTTGATTTTTCAGCCTTTGCCAGAGTTGCATCGCATTCCCGGCCTCGTTCTGTCTGGAAGCACATTTTCAGACTGTCTCATGGTGGTGCAGTTCTTGCGTAACTTTGGCAAAGTTCTTGGCTTTGATGTGAATATGGATGTCCCTTCTTTGAGTGTTCTTCAAGAGGGTTTGTTAAACATAGGGGACAGTATGGGAGAAGTACAAGACTTACTTGTAAGACTTGTCTCAGCTGCTGTTTGTGATCCTGGAGTAGTGACGGGATACAAGGTAAAATGAACTCATAAATACCCTTACAGTAGTAAAGAAATAACGTGAATTAATACATCACCATTAAAATTACCTGTTCCTCCTTAAAACTTCTCTTCCTTGGATTCCTGTAAACTCTTTTCTGGTCTTATGTTTTGTTGATCACACTTTCAGTGTTACTTTAAGCATTTCTTTTTTTCCCTTCCTCTCAGCCTCTGCTGGTATCCTCTTCCCACTCTTGTCCAGATCTGTCTTTGGTCATTTCATTTCTTTCTCCAGATGCATCTTCTCCATGATGTCATCACCTTTATGGGAATATATCTCTATATATATCCTTCCGACCCTAACATCTATGAATCTTTTTCTTCTCCCTTTACTTTGATCCTCACACAGCTTCTCAACAGCTTTTGTTTCTCCTTCCAAAATAGGTTTATTTCACTTTATTCATGTTATCAAATTTTGCTTGATGTCATGATTCTCTTTTGTACTCTTTCTCTGACATAACCTTCTCTTTGAGCCCTTTTTACATGTTAAGACTTTTAGTAGCCAATATCTATCAAGTCTGGAAAAACACCAGTTGTCACATTTGGCTGATTTCACTTATTTCATTAACAAAAGCATTACATCAGTTTTAGAAACACGCAATGGGTGGATGAATTTTGATGTATTGTGCTGCTTCAAATCAATAATAATCTAAGCTTTATTTTTTCTTCCCTGTCTGGAGTCCCAAAATTTAAAAAAAAAAACCCAAAAATAACATATCGCTGTAATTCTGTTGTTTTTTAATATACTTTTTATTTTTAGGCCAAAACTATTCTTGGGGAACATTTGCTGAATGTTGGTATCAATCGAGATAATGTTTCTGAGATTCTGCAGATATTTATGGAAGCTCATTGCGGGCAAACTGAACTTACAGAAAGCCTAAAGACCAAAGCTTTTCAAGCACATACTCCAGCTCAGAAAGCATCAGTGCTTGCTTTCCTTGTTAATGAGTTAGCATGCAGCAAAAGTGTTGTAAGGTAAGATTATTCTAACACTTTATGCATACAAATATGATCTAATGCATTTTGTACCATTTTGTATGCATCATATTTTGTTAAGCAGGGACTTGATAACACTTATTTTATCAAAAGCCATAAGCTAATATCTGCATTAACATCCTTTTTAAAACATAACTTTTGCTGTATAATTACCTTGCAGAGTTTGAAATTTTCCAAAACTGATTTGGGCTCCAAGATGCTATTCTTTTCAAAGCATTGGCCAGAATGTCTGTAGCTGTTTTTGAGCTACAAGAGAAAGTTGATTATAAAGAAATGTCTTTTACATGTAACTCAGAAAGATTGAACATCAAGTTGTCTTCAGTATCCTGTTTCGGGTTTTTTTGTTTTTGTTTTAACTCTGTTAGGCCCCCTCTACATTACACTTAAGGTGAGATTATCCAGGTAGTCGCACTTTAAGTTGTGACCCAGTTACGTGTTCAACCAAATAATGCCATGAAATAAGCAATAAACTACAAAGTTATTCTACAAAAAAAAAAGTAATAACTTTGTAGCTTGTTGCTATGGCACCATTAATTAAACATGTGGCCCAGTGTTCCCCTGTGGCTGGGAGCCCCATCAATTGAATGGCTGTCAGCTACAGGGGTGTACTATCCACTGCCAGTCCCACAGCTGACAAGGCTGGCAGTGGTGGCAGTGTTCCCGGTGCTGCCCCCACTATTGAGCCTCGTCAACTGTGGGGCTTGCAGCGGGGAGAATGCTGTCATCACTGCAAGCTTCGTTCGCTGCCGGGCTTGCACTGGGGAAGGGTCATGGGCTGTAGGGTTCACAGTGGTGTCAGTGCTCTCACCACTGCGAGCCCCACACCTCATGAGGCTCAGCAGTGGCAGTGTTCTTCCCTCAGCCCCTGCTGGGAGCTCTGCAGCCAACAAAGCTCACAGTGGGTCCAATTTAGGGAATGCTGCCCCTGCTGTAAGCCCCATCAGCTGCAGGACTCTGGTGCAGGGAGAGCCCAGGATTTTGATCCCAGGTTCCTGCTGCCCTGGTGATAAGATGCAATGGGATCTAATGTGTGATCCCAGTCTTGCCTCGTGCCCAGTCTTACCTACATGTATAGAGGAGCCCTTTAGAAAGTACTCTCACCCTGCATAACATTTAGGCTAACAGCTGAGCTGGAAAGGCTGTTTACCATTGTAATAGTTCAGGAACAGAAAGGATGGTTTCATGTTTAAGGTGACTAAATGTCTTGTTTGAAGAAATGGACTGCCTCTGCCACAGAGTTCTGTTGTGTTGCTGGATAAGTCACTTAAGCCAAAATGTGTCTTGGTTTACCACTACCTGCTGTGTTGCATATTTTCTGGATGTCAGTACATGAAACACTAAGGCCAGATTTGTAGAAGTGCTCATCATTCAAGACTGAAACAAATTTGATTGGAGCTGTGATTTCAGCATATTAATGTTACAGAAGGCTAAGCACTGTAGAAAACGGGAGCCTCAAGTAGGGCACCAAAAATTAGTGGATGTTTTTGATAACCACCTTAATCTGTGTCTCAGTTCCCAGTGAGTAAAATACAGATATGACCGCCTGTTCTAAGAGGGTGTGGTGAATATAAACTCATTGAATCTCATGAATCACTCAGATAACATTGTGAAAGCATGATAGAAATGAGCATGAATAAAATAAATGTTATATGCAATGAAATGATGTGTAGTAAATAAGGCTTGAGACCACACATTAAATGAGGAATATATAGAGAAATACTGGACTTGGTGAATGAAGGAGAGATCCAATGGAAAACTTGGTATGTAATTGTGTAATACAAAAACTCCACAAGGGGCTTAATTAAAGTTTTGCAGGCAAACCTTAATTCTGGTGTTTTGTTTGTAACTTTTAACTACTAGATTTTGCAACCTTAATGTTCTTTTAATTTTGATTTTGGGGGTGTACTGTATCTCATCTGTATATATAGTGTGTATGTCTAAGAGACAAACATACATACATTCACAGTTGGCATTCTTGAATTACTTAAAACTGGGGTTTTTGTCTTTGACAGTGAAATTGATAAAAACATTGATTATATGTCAAATTTAAGGAGAGATAAATGGATGGTTGAAGGCAAGCTGCGGAAGTAAGTTACAATTTCTTAAATATTACTAAGTTGCTTTTTTTCATTAATTTAAATGTTTTACTATATAGCAGTTTTGTTCCAAAGACAAAAATCAGCTGACTCAATTATGTGTTAAAAAATCCATAACTGCAGTACTTAATTAAGATAGGATATGAATTTAGAATGGCCCAAGGCCAGTTTTTACAATCCATTAAAGATGCATGAGATTCAAAGGGGGTTGGTATGCTTCAAAATTGGAGGAAAGTCAAGTCCATTTTGCATTCTTTGAAAGAAGTAAAATAATTTCTTACTTGAAGGTTATTGGAGCTGTCAAATTGTTATTGACATTGGTAGAGCCTGATTGGACATACCAAACTTCTTAATTTTCATTTTGAAATGTGCTAATAAAGGACATGATTGTCACCTTTAAAAATTGCCAATTACTTTGATAACTAGATTATATATGCTACCTCAATATTTGCAATACAATGTTAATGTTTGCTATAGAAAGTATAAGAAAAATGCAAATACCAGAGGTATTCTTATCTGTTTGCCTCGGGGAAAATTGGCAAGTTTTTAAGGGTCATCATTTTATATCTGTTGTTTTCCCATCCTACAAAATGAAATTCCATACAGCAAGTGCAAAGGCTCCATTTACCAGGAAGCTAAAGGGCATAAAGACTGTGAATCACAGGAGGTATACATAACCAGGCTCCAGGCCCTTTCCCTCAGTCGCCTCTGCCTCCTATCCAGGAAGCATTTAAATCCTTTCTTAGTCCTTGCTTCAGATACCTATGTTTCTAATTCTATTTTTCCCTTTTTTCCCTTTAATGTATCTCAGAAGGAAGAAGGAAGAAGTAAAGAAGAAGAGCAAGAGGGAGGTAGAGGAAAAAGACTCATAAAAAGAAATTGCAGGGGGAAAATATACTATGGATCTCTACTCATATTTCAGATTCTCAGTCCAACCAAGGGATAATACATTTTATCTTTTGGGGAAACTCAGATCATTACCTCTTTATCCCATGGGCTCCAGCAGGCCAGTGCCTCTGTGGGATGTAGGTAAAATAGTGTTGCTGAACTCTGAGGTAGCCCAGCTATCCTATAATGGGGTTGAACTCTTAGTTATCTTTATCTCCTCAAGGTCTGCTCAATCTTCTCTCTCTCCCTCCATCAAACTGTAAGTACAAGACTCGGGGACTTAGTCCTCCCTTTTCTTCCCTACCTCACTGCCAAATATCAAGCACAGGGCTTTGAAGAAACCAAGTCCTTATTCCTTCCTGTGCTTACTTCTCTTCAGTAAATCTTCTTCCTTTCTTCTCATGTGTGTATGATGACTTCTAGCTACTCCTGCCCCCACCATTCAAATGTAAGTATCATGAGGGTGATTTGAAGTGCTTTGTATGTTCAGGAAAGACTTCTGTAGGGCTACTGAACTTAAATCATCTCTCTTCTTGGCTCTTTTTCTTTGGGATTTCCTTTTGTTTTTCTGCTGCACTCACTCCCATGTAGCAGAAGTACTTTAAAGAACTTACATTGATCAGCCTGAAATAACCCTCCCTTCTTTACTGTATCTGTTTGGTATCTTTCTGTAGCATCTTGAAGACTATCAGGGACCCTGAGAGAAGGCTGTACAGTCAGCATTATAGTCTGTCTGCCTCTTAACAGTGAATTTGCCTCTTCCTGCCCCACACTGCTTTTCCTGCCCAGTTTTCAAATGCAGCCTAATTTTGAAGCATTCCAATCTTTCAGCATATTGGTCAAGCTGATAATACACAGTCTATTGACAGACTCGGTCTTGTAGCCAAGTGATAGAGCCCAAAGGAGAGCATCTTGGGGCCTGAATGCTGTTTTAGTAGCAGCTACAGGGATATTGTATGGGGAACTTGCTTCCGTTCTCATTTACTTCTCTCATCCTCTATATTTCCAAGGATAGACTTCCCTACCACTATGGTCATTCTGTTTCACAACCTGCTTACTGACTTCTTTGGTAGATGAGAAATGATGAGCTGCCTTCTAGTCCTTTCAAAGGTGGGTTTCCCCTAAGGCAGCGTAATGTTCCTCCATTCCACTTATATTCGCATCAGCCATGATACTGGCTTCCTTAATTAGATTTCCTTAATTGGATTTTTACATTGATAATGAAAACATTCAAAGTTACATTAGTGAGATGAACTATAAACAAACACCTGCTCTCCCCCCCCACCCGGCCAAATCCCCTAAAACCACAGTAGAAGGAATATATGCCCTCCCTCATTCGTTAGGGCATATGGGCAGACTGTTCCTTATTTGCTTATTTCAAAGTTTCTTGCATCTTCCTTGGAAGGATATATGCTAGTTACTGTCCAAGGCAGAATCCTGGGCTTGATACACTGCTGCTTGTCTCTGATACAAAAATGTCTATGTTGATATACTTACCAGAGTGACAAGTCACTTCTGATTATTTCTAAATAACGGTTAGATACAAATAGCCATCAGCTTTTGACTGGAAATGACCATCATAAATTCATCAGTTAGACCAGTGGTCAGCAACTTTTTAAGGCTGTGGGCTAGATTAATCTAGTTTGGGTCAGAGGCAGGAGAGTGGGCCTGCACTAAGATCCAACTGCCACCATTGCTTTTCTCCACTGAGGCACAGGAAAGCAACTTCTTTTGAAGCCCCGTGTCTGCAGGCTGAATCAAATGGCTCCATGGGCCAGATCTTGCCCGCAAGCAGTAAGTTGCTGACCCCTGAGTTAAGCCATTTTGTTATCAATAGAAAAATTATAACTAAGGCCCACTGTCTCCTTTATTCAGGAGAGAGTCTTTTGTCTTAGCAGAAAAGATTAGTTGTTATACAGCTCTTCTGTAGTTCATATCCATGGTTAAAAAGATGCAGCGAGCATTTTGCTCCCCTGCAAAACCAGTGAGTTCAAGCTTCTGAACAACACAGTGAGGTACTTCCCAAGGGCAGGGTCTCAAACAAGGGACATAGCTTCACATTTTCTGTTGCTTTGGGCAGCCCACAGTTCAGTTTATTAGTTTGCTTGCTCTCCATGACTTTCAGGGGACGTCTCAGCACTTCTAAATATTGGAGCACTTTATAAGGTGTCTGGATTTGGGGATGCAAAAGGACAAATCATGTCCGAAAATTAAAGCCGAAAATACTTATTTCTTTTCATCCTCTGATTCCATGAATATTACACAAGGTCAGCTCAGACAGGATTCAAGCCCTGTCTGCAGTATAGGTAGCTACCTACCTATTTGTCCACATATCCTTCATTTCTGGGTATCATAAACCTTTCCTTAGGGTCAACGCATCAAAATATTCAGGATGTCTTTCTTGTCATATACTGTCTTCTGTATATATCTGAAAGGGAGGAGGATGAGCAATAAAGCTTTCCAAGCAAGGGCCATGTGTTCAGATGGAAACATTTTTAATGGGTGCTCTTAGAAACAGTTCTCACTGGTACCTTCCTCTTAACAAATTATTCATTGCATTTGGGGGGGGGGCTTATAAGATTTTTTAAATATAGATTCTCATTCTTGATGTCTGTGATCCTGTGAAAGAGAGCATCTTTGATTCATTTCTTCTCATTTTAAATATTAGGCAGGCTTTATTTGTTGGCTATCAGAGTAGTAATTTTTTAATTATTATTATTATTATTTTATTTTATTTTTTTGCTTTCTGCAAATGTAGCCTTTTAATTTGATTTTAAAAAGTGGCATTTTATGTGCTCTCCTCTTCTTTTTTTTTCCTAAGTACATAGGAAAGTTATCTTTGCTGTTTATTAATTTCCTTACTGCTTATCTTTTTTGGACAGTTTTTTTTAGTTTAACTTGGGCTACTTATTCCTTACTCTGTTTAGGATGATTAACATGTAATGTTAAACTTATGGCTTTGCTTTCCAACATAGCTGATAAAGGCTCTCAAATTTTATTTATCCCAGAAAAGGGTAACATTTCCTAAAGTCCTTACATGACTTAGAAGTCCCATTTTTCAAGTGACTTAGGCTTGCTTTTAGTTGCATAGATGTTCAGTGATACTTAAGCTCTTAATTGCCCAAGCCATTTTTTAAACTGGGACTTAGTCCTTTGAAAATTTTTAAGTCTTTTAGAAAGTTTGAAAAGCATGTTAGTTTTCATGATCAGAACAAAAGTTTAAGACCTTCCTAACTCTCAAGTGGATTAACATTTAAGTATGTCCTTCCAGCAGGCAAGCAAAAGCCCTCTTTGAATACTCACTAACAATCTTCTAAAGTAGTTATCATCACTTGGACAGTGACTGCTGAGGCAATGACGAACAATCTGTTCTGCATAGGATGACTATGCAGTCCTCACTTCAGTCTTATCATACAGTACTGGCTAGGTCCATCAGCATTTTAAAGGGCTGATATTTTTGTCACAGTGTTCTCAAGGCTACTGTTAAGAAGCCACCTACTTTAACAGTGCTCATCATAGCCACTTGCTGTATGGAATATTGTTTTGTAGGATGGGAGAAGAGGGGAAGTACAACAAGGAAAAATTACAAAATGGTAATTGTGTTTGTCGTACTCCACTTTTCCCATCCTACTTCCTTCCCTTCATCTCTTACAAAATCTTTGCCTTTCTACACACATTTATATATCTCCTCTAAACCAATTATGTGCTTTCTGCTTTTAAAATGACTGGTTGAGCCTGGCTGTGTATACCTCCTGTGATTCAATGTGTTTCCCTGCTAGCTTCCTGGTAAATGGAATCATAACATTTGCTGTGTGGAATCTTGTTTTGTAGACTTTTAGTAGAAGAGGAAAGTCTACAGCAACCATAGTTACTGGTATGTAAGTTTCCATTTTATTTAACAGAATTAAAACAAAGACTTTGCTTTATGTCCTATGGTGCTCAACCTTTTTCCCTGATGGGCCAGATAGGCAGTGCCTAATCTGACTGCAGGCTGGATGCTGGTTCAGATCCAGCATCTGGGGCTGTGCAGTGGGCACCATCCAGCCATGTGAAGGGGGGCAGCCTAGCCCCATGGGGGGGGG